AAAAGTTTTGGAGTTGGGATAATGGCATGATTAAGAAGATAATGTGTCCTATCATGTAAAGTAAAAAACACTTAAGCAAAAAAAAAAAAAATGATCGGCCCCACAAAAAATTCACATCAGATTTTTCTTTGGCTTGCTCGAGTTGACAAAAAGAAGAATTATTGCTAGCTAATAAAGTTGTTTTTGTTTCTAATAACCCGATAAATTTGCTAAAAGACAATGTAATTATCATCTGAACGCCCCTCTCTCTGTCCTAAAATGGGTATTTTTAAGAATTCTCGAAAAAAGGATCCTCAACCCCACGATAACAGTTGGGTTGCAAAAAATTTCAAATCTTGCCCGTTGATCGTAAAAGTTTTGAGGTTTTTTTTAGATATTTTGACATTTTGTATAGAAATTACGAAAAAAAAAATTGTTAATGAATCATGATAAAGTAAAAGATAATTAAGTTTTTGCTCGTTATTTTGCCAACGTGGCCCGATCAAGTCGGAGTTGGTCAAGTCTGCAAAGCTAAGTAACTTTTCCGGGGCCCACGTATTACCGTGCCGACAGAACTTTTGTGTTTTTGGAAAGATCCCTAACTTTTAATTTGTGATTATGCAACTAAACTTTAATTTCAATCACCGGATATAAAGTTTAATTTCCGTTGGAGCTGATGCACCGTGCTCGGAAAATCGAGCAATTTTCGATGAAAAATAGCCATATTTCATGCCGATGGTTCGCCCGAAAAATTAATAGGATTTTGATTAAAAACTCGAAATGCTCCATTCCAAAAAAAGAAAAGAATTAAAAAAATTTGAATATCAGGTAGTCGGTAGCGATGAATTTGAAAAGCACTGCCGAAATAGGTAATATATGCTTGAATGGTATTAGGGATATAAAGAATAACACGCGAAATTGATTTATAAGAGCAATGGATGCACATAAACTCTAATGTAATTAATTAGAGTATGCGTATGATCCATCCATGAAAAATACCCATTCATGATTGGCCGAATTTACCACGTTCAGAATTGGTTTTGTATGCTCCTTCGTCATCCCAGAAGCCCATCGGGAGCTGCTCCTTCTCCAGTCTCTTTGATCCCTCGTCGGATCGGATCGTTACGGCACGATTCTCCGATAATGAACCGTTGCCACGACGTTTACATCATAATTCTAACACAATATGTCCTGATGCGTCATCACTCCATAATTCCATTAATGAATCGAGATTATTTTTCCTCTGCGCAACTCATATGTCCTCGTCCAAAAAAAAAATTAATTATAAAAAAAACGTCTTGATATTGGAAAAGAGTATCTCCCAAATTATAATTAGGCTCGAATTTTGGAGCCACTCGTGTTTTTTTTTTTTTTTGTTATAATTGACTTTTGTAATCGTTGCGTCCGCTGCCTAACGACCGTCGCCGATATATACTTTTGGTTTGGTTGGTCTTTCTCTTTACGGTAGATTCGCGCCCCCCCCGCCCCGCGTGTCGTTGGCGATCGTGGACGACAAAACCGCACGTGACAACCTGGCAATGCAAAAGGGGAGGGCGGGTCCCGCATGCACTCGTGCGCACCGCACCGGACACGTCACGTCGACTTTTCCCCGCGAGACGCGCGATGATTGGGGGGGCGGGGATCGCGACTGAGGACGCAATCCTGGCCGTCCGATGCGGCGCGTGCGCGTCAATCCTCATGCTCGGCGCGTGGATGGGGGGGGGGGGGGGGGGGGGGAAGAATCTATAAAAGGGGGACACGGTTTTCCCTGTTGGAAAGCACATGTTGTAATAATGTCGCCCCCCCTCCTTTTGAAAGGAAGAAGCCCCTGTTGACCGTACTATTGGACTTCGCTCGCCTACACGCGCTTTCGTTCAATCACGTGCGCTCGCATCTTGCGTGCGTGCGCGCGCGCGCGAGCCCGCCGAGAGAGTCAAACGAAAAAAAAAAAAAAATGAATGTGAAGTGAATGGTTTTCACCCAAAGGCGTTTCGAGAAGCAGAACCTTCGTCGTGAGGGAATGATTGATGATATAATTCGAACGAAGAGACCGTCGAACTAGAGAAAAGAAATGATTGACGAGATAACTCGCGCGGACCCAGGTGGCCCTTACCCGACCCCAGGCGAGATAATTTCGCGCGACCCTAGGTGGCGTTGCACAAACCCGGGCGACGGCCGCACCTCAGGCTTGTCGACCCCAGGTGGCCTTGCCCGACCCCAAACGAGATAATTCACGTGACCCCAGGTGGCCTTGCACGAACTCAGGCGACAGCTACACCTCAGGCGACGCCTGAGTAGCGCAACCCAGGCCTCGCCTGAGGTCGGGTGACCTTTAGACCGCCTCGCCTTACCTTGGGCGAGAGTGGGTGACCTCTCGACCTATTTTAAGCCAAAGGTTTAATACAATTGCATTTCCTCAAAATTCTTCAAAAAATTTGCCACACGCTATTTTAATTTATCTAAGGAACTTTAGGGCTCTAAAGACACTTGCCAATACTAAATCAAACGCACGCAGAGAGAGAGAGAGAGAGCTCGATACGAAATATCCCTTTTGAGCTTGGAAGAACAATCACATCACCGCAACTTTAGCGATGCAATGCGATTTCTATTTGTAAAACTGGAGTTTCCAAGCTAGACAATGAAATATCGGAACTAAGACTTCTCCAAGCCACTTAGTAGTAAGTCTTGTTTCACCTGCCTTACCGTTGCGATAACGAGATATTAAAATGCAACCTTCTAAATTTCCTAGTGCAAATTGCATTGTCCCCGAGCTTTTGAGAGATATAACGAAATTTCTCTGTTCTTTTTAACTATTCACTAGTAAACCTAAAATTTTATTAAAGAATAATACTAAACTTGTTAAGATCGGTTTATAAAACTTATTTACTAATCAATCCATCGGACCGTGAGTGACCATTTAAACAAGTAAACCATATAAAAAAAAAGCAATGACAACCCGATACATCTCTTAATAAGCCAATTTTGTGAACCGGTCTTAGTAAATTTAGCATTTTTATTATTATTATTATTATTATTATAGAAAAAATAACTCTATATGTGCACTATTTGACCGGGCCTAGAAGTGAGGAAGGAGAGGCAGACAATGGGAAAAAACCAAGAAGCCACCTCCGTTGGATTGGGCTAAGTTGGGCCTGGGCTCAAGGCCCGTTTCTACTGAACGGGCCTCAGATACCATCTTGATCAGAGTGGAGAATATCACATAATTTTTTATTCATTTTTATCTTCCTTTAAATAATAATCATTTTAAGCCCTTCATTTTCCTTTCTAATCCCTTATTTAAAATGGTTCATGAGAGACTCAAATTGAAGTAAGTGTCAAATTAGTCGACAATTGTCTTTACAATTTAAAATTACGACCCGGCAAAAAAGATTATGGTTTTATCAATTATATCGTACCGTACTGTCACCAAAACATCTTGATAAAAGATTAGTAAAAGAGCACCAACGTACCTGTTTGGGGAAAATTTTTTTAAATGTGCGTGGACTGTGGAGTGATATAACTGTTTAAATTGCAAATGAGTTTTGGAAATAAGTTTAATTATATTTTTATGAGAGAGACTTACAATTAATTTTGGGAATCTAAGATATTTGTAATGTTATTTGACAATTATTCTGTATTTTCAAATTATAATTTTGTACACTTTATCATATCATGTTACATCTCAAAATGGGCTAATATAATAAAAAAATTCCAAACCGATATGTTTGCGCTACTTTTACCCCAAAACTAATTTTCTAGTCACAAACCCCAAACCGGTACAACCGTGCTACACTTACCCTAAATTAATTTCCGTGTTATAAAAAGTCTCAAATGGATACATATACACCACATTTACCCCAAATTGAAATATTTGTGCCACATTTACCCAAAATAATGAGATTTTTTGTAACACGAAAATCAGCTTGGGGTAATGGCACAAATGTACCGGTTTAAGATTTTTTATGACACGAAAATTATTTTTGGATAGACCTGTCAAAATATGTCATAGACCTATTTCTTAATATATATTTGATGGACAGAGTTGTTATTTATTGCAATATTATCTCTAGTTTTTTTTGGAGGGGCAGTACAAAGTTCACATTATTAGTCCACATTCCGGTAACAATGTCCTGTAATTGAGTTTTTAAAATAGTAAATAGGATTACCACTTGCATCAAACAAGTGCACTAGAGGACCTGTCTAGAGTTTGTGGCTACGTCTACCTTCTTAGGGTCATAAATGAGTAATGGTAAGGTCAAAAATATTATTAGTGTTAGATGAGTTCATTGCTTACTTAAACCCAACCCATTTCTTTGACTTTCTCTTCAATCTCTCTCACCCTCACTCAATCTCGCGGTTGTTCACTCCATGCTCTCCCCTTAGTTTAGGTATGAGTTTTTTTGAATGTGATTAAATATAAAAGTATTTTAGCAATATAAGCTGGATCGCGCACGAGTCACTAAATTTGTATTGCATGGGAATGGGTTAAACGGATCAATTTGGGTCGGACCATTTTCAACTCGACCCATACCTTATTCAACCCATCCGTTTGACAGGTTTAGTTTTTGGTAATTGTGACATGGGTGTACCAGTTTGAAATTTTTTTGACACGAAAATTAGTTTGAGAATAAATATGGTACGATTATATTAGTTTGGATTTTTTGATGCTATTAATTAAAGAAAAAAAGGGACGCGAGCATTTTGTGGAATTTTCTTTTTATAAAAGGTAGGCTGAAAGACGAGAAGAATTCGATGTGTTTCCATACGCCATACGCGTGGGTCCACTTTCGGACACGTAAGCACAGCCCCACTTGCGCAAATTGGACGGTTCGATCCGGCTCCGACTTGTTCCCGGTACATAGGGCCACACGTGAATGCGGTGCATCCCATCCCTTAGATCACGCGGGTCCCACGTGGGGTCCACTAAAATTAAGGGTTCGGATGCATTGAGTACACACACACACACCCAATTCCTTAACGACTCCACTTTTTTCCTCTCTTCTTCCTTTCCGGAGGAGGTGTTGACACCGCGTGAAGAGAGAGGTGTACGATATAGCGCCATCGATCATCCAAGCGTCGAAGCAATCTTCAACCTTCATCTTCATCTTCTTCATCTTCTTCTTCTTCTGCTGCTGCTGCAAAATCCCTTGCAATCATCTCCAACGAAGATCGGCGAATCCGCAAGAACGCGCGCGCGCAGGCCAGGGGGCTCGGGTTTCGCCGGATCCGTTCTCTCTCTCTCTCTCTCAGGTCAACTCGCGGCGGTCTTCGTCGGAGCCGATCGACATGAGTTTCATCTTCGGCAAGCGCAAGACGCCCGCAGGTTTGAACCTTCAATCGCGAGAATCGCTGCGCTCGTGCGGCTCCTGGGATTCGTTAATCCGTTGCCGGCGATCGCCGACCGTTGTGTTGTTGTTCTACCTTTCGCGCTGTTTGATTTGCGAGCGGTGGTGTGGGCCGACGAGGGAATGATCGAGAGAGACACGAGAAGGAAAATTTGACAGCAGCTTCGGATAGCTCGTCGATGTATCTGTTTGATTTTAGTTTGTTGTCGTGATGAGCTTGAATTTCGGTAGCTATGTAGAAGGAACGGAGATGATTTTCCGGTTCGAACTGCTCGTTTCGGGATTTACGCCGTCGGGAGTGTGATTTTCGTGTGAGGTTCTTCGCCCGGTCAGCTATTGCTATAAAATCATAGAGGAATGATCGAGAGAGATTTGAGAAGGAAAATTTGACGGCAGCTTCGGATGGTTTGTAGATGTCATTTGTTTGATTTTAGTTTGTTGTCGTGATGAGCTTGAATTTCAGTAGTTATGTAGAAGGAGCGGAGATGAGATTGCGGTTCCAACTGTTCATTTTGGGATTACGCCGTCGGGAGTGTGATTGTCGCGTGAGGTGCTTCGCCCGATCAGGCTATTGCTATGAAATCATCGGGGATTGATAGGATATGGTATTTACATGGTGAATTTTGGTGATTGATATGTTGGGGGAATGGCCATGCTTGTTTTGTTCATGTCATGACCGATTCAACTCTCGTGATCCTTCATATAGAGCACGGATTTATACTTTTTTCTTTCAGCGGGTTGAAAATGGTAGATTACTTGGATTTTTGCGTGATCAAAGCTGTCATCTTATGAACAGAACTTAAGAAAAAAAATACAGAACTGATGAATTCGTTGTGCTTTAGAGCTTCTACGGGAGAATAAGAGGATGCTGGACAAGTCCATACGAGAAATTGACAGGGAGAGACAAGGACTTCAAACACAGGAGAAGAAGCTGATCCTAGAGATCAAGAAGAATGCCAAGCAAGGGCAGATGGTATGTCATACGACTCTTTTGTTACATCTTCATTTCAGTTCATGTACATGTTTGCGCTAGTCTGGCTTACCATTGTTTCAGCTTGCTTTTGGACGGTGATTCTGATTATATGCATGACAAATTGATGGTCAGCTTTCTCAACTGTGTCATTGATTTCTTGTGTAATTTACTTTCAGGGAGCTGTAAGGTTGATGGCAAAGGACCTTATTAGAACACGCCATCAGATTGACAAATTTTATAAACTGAAGTCGCAGCTTCAGGGTGTTTCTCTTAGAATTCAGGTGCGCCGACATTCCTGCTTAAGTTCTCTGTATTCCCTGTAAATGCATGCCCTGTAGAGACTCTAGTCCTGTTAGCTTTTGCCTTTTTGTGGTTCTGAGAGAATTTATCACAGACAATGAAATCAACACTAGCAATGGGGGAGGCAATGAAAGGCGTGACGAAGGCAATGGGTCAGATGAACAGGCAGATGAACTTGCCATCGTTGCAGAAAATTATGCAAGAATTCGAGAGACAGAACGAGAGGATGGAAATGACGAGTGAAGTGATGGGTGATACCATTGACGATGCTCTGGAAGGTGATGAAGAAGAGGAGGAAACGGAAGAATTAGTTAACCAGGTTCTAGATGAGATCGGTATTGATGTCAACCAAGAGGTATTGTCTTTATTCAATACGTCTATGAAATGATTGAGCTATTATGATGATCTTAACCTCTCTATTTTCAATCATTTTGTACAGCTTGTAAATGCACCATCAACTGCGGTTGCAGCTCCAGCTGCAAAAGCTAAAGTTGCACAAGTAGAAACCACAGCGAACGAAGACAGCGGAATAGACAGTGACTTACAGGCAAGGTTAGATAATTTAAGAAAGATGTAGTTGCACACGTCCTACGACGTGTACATCAGCTTTGATGTAAAGAATTCGGAGTTCATCTGGCGATCTTATCATTTGTTGAAATAGTGCCTCCTTTTACTTGGACCTGAATCGTTGAGAATTCTATGGAGATACTTCTATTTACTTGCTCTAAATTCATTCATGTAACATGGAGATTGAGAGGTATCGTGGAAATATTGCCGATGGTTTAATCAGTAGTCGAACTATTATCTGTTAATTAATTTAACCTTATGTTACATCTTTGGCCCTTTTGCATTTAATCTTCATGATCATGTAATGTCATTCGGTCTGGATTTGTTTACTTCTGGTGAGTGTTTTGCTTGTTTGCCCTCAGTTGTGAAATTGCCAGTCCAATGTGTGCCATTTTGATAAAGGCTTGATATCTATTGAGGGAAGCTTAGTAGTTAGTACTTAGAATGCTCGCAGATATTATGTAAGACGGGAAGAGTTGCTAATGAATTCGGCGAAGCAATTCATATTTCCAAAACGAAAGAAAAAAGCAAAAGAATCGCATTAGGTTCTGCCTGTTCGGCTATCCTACAGTCTGGCATTGCCCAGGAACAAGAAAGAAACAGAAGATAACTTTCATAGTTGTTCTTTTTTTTCGAACTCTGTTATGCCTATTGTGGAACTCGGCATTGCCGATGCGAAATCCAACATAAGCAAACGGCTGTTCTCATCCGAAAGATCTCATCATTCATGAGTAGCGATACGGTTGACTTGTATCTAGTTGTATCTCTCCGTCATATTGAAGCCTAATGCTGGAAGAGGATGCAATGACCAGTTCTGCCATGAGCCAAAAAACCATTCTTGGTCTTGTTCTTTCCTCGACAGATACCGGTTTCGTTCCAGCCCACCAAAAGCTGTGGTTCGCCTTGTACCGAGCTGGAGGCCTCGCTCGTTTGAACTACGCTTCACTCGGATCGGATGCGTTAAGCTACTGAAAGCACTTCGACGAGCAATCGCTAGGTTTAGATATGATGCTCAGCTGACAGCTCACTTGTGACTGCTTCATGGTTGTGGATTCACATTCATCACGAGCCAGGTCGTTATTTTCATACCGATGCCAATATGACTTACAGGTACAGTGACAATATCTTGTCCATGGAACCCCCCAAGGCAACATAACTTATTCCCCCCATTTCACTTCCATCTGCAACCCACAAATTAAATTTTTTTTTTCTTCACCTTTTTATATGATGACTTATCTATTTATTTCACTGAACAATCTGTGCAAACTAGTTGCAATAATTTATGTGGAGCAACCTAATTATTTTTTGCATGGGTAGAGTTCTTATTTGGCGCCCCCTCAAAGACAACTGGCCTCACCAAGATTTAATATACGAATCATCATCATGAAGGGTGGACAAAACATATGATTCGGGCATGAGGCTGGATTTCATGTTCTTATCCATTTAACTTTTGCAAAAAATAAGAAATACCAGGTTTTGACCGTTAGCCACCAGTAGCCTAGCTACTATTTAAATATCCTTTCCCGGGAAACCAAGAAGCCACCCCATTGCACGTTCAAAACCACCTTTCCTTGTTTGGAAATTTATTTTTTTCTTCCCTGAAAAATATTAGCTAAGCAGGTTTTCTTCTTTCTTTGTTTTTCTTTATTCGATTGAATCGTTGAGCCCTCTCTAGTTCTCTTGCATGTGCGCACTTTCGATGGTTCACTTACAGATTTCGGCTGAAATGTTTCGATCTTGCTGCGAAAGTTTGTTTTCCCTTTGCTTATATAGTTCAGTCAGCTAAACTTTTACTTCACCAAATTGGAAAAAGCATTTGTGCAATGAGCTTTATTCATGACAGGGGAGACTGAAGCGTTGTACTTGTGGCGGTTTTCGAGGAGCAGCGCGCGATAGAAGATTGGAGAACGAAATGGAGGCAAATAATGGTGCGGTGGCGAAGAAAGGAAAAGATAAAGTGGTGGCTGTGATTTCGGGCTCCAGAGGTGAAGTCGAGAAGCCCGGCTCTTCTTTGGAGAATTCGCAGTCGGGTCTTTCAATGGATCCCGATCCTGAGTTGAAAGATGTTAAGGATGCTGCGCTGAAAGTGCAAGTACCGAATCTGAATAGCTCGTTTTTTGGACAAGGGTCCACAGAACCAAGCCAGACTGCCTCAGGTCAGCCTCCTATGGTTCCAACCGGCACTTTGACTAGAAGAAAATCATTACTCGCGAGGTCCGCATATTCGAAGCCGAAATCGAGATTTGTCGAACAGTCATATCCTAATAAGGCAGAGTTAGCCGAAGTCAAGTCCCAGTCGAAGAGTGCGAGTTCGTCCTCCGGGAATTCACCTAGTGTGGCTTCACCAGGTGCTCATGTCGGTTCTGCTACTTCAAATGAAAATGTGAAAACAGCTCCAGCCACTCCAAGAACACCAATTCTTGTTTCGTCGGGCGGAGGCAATGACGAAGACGACGATGACGAGGTGCACAAGACTGCAAATCTGGAAGTTCAGAAAATGTCGGGTAAGAATTTTAAGAAGATGGTTTTGGTAGAGTGGATTGCGTTCATGTGCATCACAGGTTTTCTGATTGCTAGCTTGACCGTGCATGAGTCGAAACCTAAAATGATCTGGAGTTTGAAGTTGTGGAAATGGTGTATTCTAGTTCTTGTGATTTTCTGTGGCAAATTGGTCACTGAATGGTTGATAAACATATGGGTGTTCATGATTGAGAGGAACTTCCTTCTCAAGAAGAAAGTTCTTTATTTTGTCTATGGATTGAAGAAGAGTGCCCGAGAATTTATCTGGTTAGGTCTGGTCCTACTGGCCTGGGCGCTGCTGATAAACCACGGTGTGAAGCGATCGACGCACACCGCTAAAATCCTGAATTACGTCATGAGGACTCTGGCTTCTTGTCTATGGATTGAAGAAGAGTGCCCGAGAATTATTCTGGTTAGGTCTGGTCCTACTGGCCTGGGCGCTGCTGATAAACCACGGTGTGAAGCGATCGACGCACACCGCTAAAATCCTGAATTACGTCACGAGGACTCTGGCTTCTTGTCTTATTGCATCTGCCATTTGGTTGATCAAGACTCTGCTGATAAAATTACTGGCTTCTTCATTCCAATGCACACGGTTCTTCGATCGGATTCAAGAGTCGTTCTTTCATCAGTACATTGTTTGCTCGCTCTCTGGGCCTCCCTTCATGGAAATGGACGGGAATTCGAAGAGCAACAGCCAGTTAAGTTTCAAGACTTCGAATGAAGTATCGGAACAGAAGAAAGAGGAAGTGATTGATCTGGAGAAGCTACACAGGATCAACCAAGGGAAGGTCTCGGCGTGGATGATGAAAGGGTTGATTGACGTGATAAGTAGGTCTGGGCTATCCATGGGTAGGCTCAACCACGGGGATGATGACGAGGAGGGAGAGAAACAAGAGAGCAAGATTAGTAGTGAGTGGGGTGCTAAAGATGCCGCTTATCAGATATTCAGAAACGTAGCTAAGCCTGGATACAATTGAGGATACCGACTAATTGGAGATTTAACTGCAAACTAGTGATGGATAAATTTTTCACTACCTCTTTTCTTTTGTTGTTTTCAGGTACATTGAGGAAGAGGACCTCTTGCACTTCATGAAAAAGGCAGATGCGGACAATGCGTTTCTGTTGTTTGAAGGAGCCACAGAAACCGGAAAGATCACCAGGTCATCATTGAAAAAGTGGTTGGTGAGTCCACGATCGATATTCTTGTCTCATGGATGATTCATTTGAGGAGCAATTATTTGTTTTCAGTCTTCAGTAAAAATTCTTTCCTGTGGTAGATGGTTGCACTGTCATTGTAACCACACAAAGTTTCCTAGTTTCCTGGTTTTCGTAAAGTATGGCAGATAGAGATTTGTACATCTTCCCATTGTCGATTAATTTTCATTAAGGAGACTTTATTGTTGCAGGTGAAGGTTTACCAAGAACGCAAGTCGCTAGCGCATTCCTTAAACGATACAAAGACCACCATTGAAGAGCTGAACAGGCTCACTTCGGGGGTTGTGCTCATAGTGATCCTCAAAGTCTGGTTATTGGTGATGGGACTTTTGACAACCCAAGTGCTCTTGTTCATCTCATCCCAGCTTTTCCTGGTGGTGTTCATATTCGGTAACACAGCAAAAACTGTTTTTGATGCGATCATATTTGTATTTGTGATGCATCCGTTCGACGTGGGTGACCGTTGCGTAATCGATGGAGTTCAGGTCACTTTTCATAATCCTATAATCGTATCGCCTCTCTCATTTTGTTGGTACTTTATTTGGCTTTACTGGTCAAAATGTATTGCAGATGGTGGTTGAAGAAATGAACATCTTAACAACAGTCCTGAGATATGACAACGAAAAGATTTACTACCCAAATTCAGTTTTGGCGACAAAACCCATCAGCAATTTGTACAGGAGTCCGGAGATGAGCGATTCCGTGGAATTCGCCATCGATTTCTCCACTTCAATCAAGAGCATCGGAGATATGAAAGCTAAAATAAAAGAGTACGCCATCTATTATCCCTCATGTACTCTGCATTGGCAAGTAGTTTACATGTACTATGAATGGTCGGTCTGTAAGGATTCATTTGCAACGGAGGTGACCCGCCTCAGATTGTGCAAAATTTCAGATATCTGGAGAGCAAGCCTCAGTACTGGCGTCCCAGCCACAGCGTCTTGGTCAAGGAGATTGAAGATGTGAACAAGATGAAGATGGGTCTCTATGTCACTCACACCATAAATTTTCAGAAATCCGGGGATCGGAGTAGCCGGAGATGCGAGCTGGTTCTGGAGCTCAAGAAGATATTCGAGGAGGTCGGGATTGCATACCGTCTGCTGCCTCATGAAGTCCACCTCAGCAATGTCGGCTCACCATCCTCAGCTGCAGCCGGTCCGACGTGACTTACCCTCTATACGCAATCACCGACAGCACAGGGCAATAATGTTTGTGGTAAGTAATCTCTTCTGTTCTTCGAGTAATTAACCCTATCGAACATGGTTGGTCTAGACCCACAAATTATAATCTATAAAGTACCAACTTTCAACACAGAAGAATTCAAAGCGAAGTCCGAATTCTCTTAACCACCAGCATTTAGGATGATCATGCACGACAATTACATCCGACCATTAGGACTCATGAAAAGTTTGGAGCACTGTCATTTCGACATCAGTGATTCAAGATCTCGCATGCTCTAATGTTTGTTCATCATCTTAGTTGGCCAAGGAACAAGTTCTTATCGCTGCCACTGCATTAACGAAACGTCTTTGCTAACTGGAGACATTCTCGATACCAGCAGGTCGTGAACTGTTTCACGAACGGAGGCTTCTCGACAAGATTGGTTGGATCAGAACTCCATTTTCTTCTTCTTGTATAACTAAAAGCTCACCTTGCACTTCGCCCTCGGTTACGGCCGGAAGGTTGTAGTGGAACGAGATCAGATGACCTGTTTGAGCGCAGTTTCTTATCTTACTTCTGATTTTGTGTGCGACAACGTTAACGTTGGATGTCATCTTTGACAGAATGTGATCACATTATTTTGTCTTCAACCATGAAACTGTGATAGTTTTTTGTTCTTTTTTGTTCATTTTGATGAATTCGCACGTCAAAAAGATTAAGAGATAACCTTATCCACCAATGGTTGCACGAGAACCCGCCACATCAGCGAGGGTTGTCGTCGTCGACTGGACTAACCAACGCCTGCTTTTCCGTATCTCCATCTCCCACCTCTCAACCAACGCAAAATCCACACTCACTCACTATCTCTCTCTCTCTCTCTCTCTCTCTCTCTCTCTCTCTCTCTCTCTCTCTCTCGTCTTCAACCCTGCATTTTTCGAAGCTCGACACCACCACCAATGGCTTCTACCTCCGCTGTCTCGATGGCCACGCCGCTGGTTCACAGCAACCGCCGGAAGCTGCCAAGCTCCGACGCTTTTGTCAAGCCATTGCCTGTGGTGGTCAGGCCGTCGCGAGCGGTCCGGGCATCCACCAAGTTCCAGGTGAGCGCGTCCCTGAAGGAGAAGGCGATCGCCGCCGCCACCGTGGCTGCCCTGGCGGCTTCGATGGTGGTGCCAGAGGTGGCAGAGGCCGCGGTCTCGCCGTCGCTCAAGAACTTCCTGCTCAGCATCGGTGCCGGGGGAGTCGTGCTCGGGGCACTCATCGGTGCAGTGGTCGGTGTCGCCAATTTCGATCCCGTCAAGAGGACCTGATCGAAAGTTGCTGGGAGACTTTCGAGTATGCAGTCCCTCTTTTCATAAGTATATATGCCAGTGTCATGTCTGCAACAAAATTTACTATCTTTGTATAATCTGCGTTCGTTATGACTTATGAGATGTGCTTTGATTGAGGCCCGGTGGAAATAGTTCGTCCATGCATTAAATGAACTATCAAATTTTAGGCAAATAAAAATCCTGAATTCACACACATCCATTCCACTGATGGATTGAAGCATAGATCGATTCGCATTTCAGCGACACCGATTCGAAAGGCATGATGAAGCTGAATGATGCACGAGTAATAGGATTTAGACCAGTAAAGAAACAGAGCAATTGTATGAATCTTCATTTGATCAGTCAGATTCAAACTATATGGAGCTCCGATATGCGAAAGAACTTTCGAGGAGATCAATGGTTAAATCTAGGTGACTGGTTTTCATAGTTTCATGGTGTGTCCTCCATATTCTCAGAAACGCACGAGCTGTCTGTGATTCCATGTCTGCAGGCGAACCGCACATCTTCTTCTGTGAAAACATGAGTCTCATTCAGTAACCTGCCGAAGATGCAAACTTGAGTTTGCGGCGATTTAGAGCATGAGAATTTTCCAATTGTCATACTAAGAGTTTAGAAACCGAACTTATGAATTGTAGACAGTCTTGTTGAGTACAGTAGCTGATGCAATGGAAGCTCCATCCTGACAGCATAGCATGCCATCGAGTCTTCCTTTGGTTCTCCGGTCGATTTCTCGATGTCCAGTTTCAATTGTTGGTCTGATGCCCGATGCCATTAAGTTCGGACACGCTTATCGCCCCCAGGCAACTCGTAACATTCACTCTGATAACGACCGGAAAACGAAAATCCACCTTCAGGAAGATATGCACATCAGCGAAACTCGTTCCCGCCTTCTTTGCCTGAAAGAAATTCCCCTTCGTTCTCTTTTCCGTAACAGGGGAACAAAAGAGAAGGTACGGACGGAAAAACGGATTTACAGCAGAACGCTACGAGTGTACCACACCGAAGCTATCCAGCCAACTGGAGGGAGTTCAAGCAGACGCTTTTCTTCACCCGAAACAGCAGCGTATAGGCTTAGTCTAAGTAAAATCGAATAAGAGGACTTGCGTGATCAATGGTTTTGATTTATGTCGGTTTGCATAGACCGAGCCTACAAAAAAAACCAGATATGTCCATGGAAGAAGAGGATCTTGACAATCATCCAATCAAGAACCCGACCTTAGAGGAGCTGAGGATATAGATGGCAGCCAATGATGTTTCTGTCTACAATCACAATCTCAATCGAAAGGGTGAAGATCGTTTCGTACTGACATGAACTATGGATCCTCGTACCAGTTGCCCAGAAGAAAGTATTTGCTGAAGGCACAAGAAACCCATCTCCCTAAGTTATCCAGCTGTTAAGGCTGCGCATGATAACGATTCTGTGCCCGGGAACAGATTCTGTTCAGAAATGATTTTTTTTTATTCTGTGCCCGGAATTGATTCTGAGCATTTTAAGGTGTTTGTTAACGGCCCAAAATTCCGTCCCTGGAATAGAAAAGAACAGAAATGCGTTTGGTAACGCAACAAAATTTCTTTTTATTAATAATATTTTTAAATATTTTAATATTTCTTTCTTTTTTATTTTCCTTCCTTCTTGGCCATGGCACTTTTCAGCCATGGCCTAAAATATTTTTGTATTAATAATATTTTTATAAAAAGTATTTTTTCTTTTTTTTGGCCATGGCCTGGTCGTCGGCTATGACCGGTAAAATATTTTTTTTATTAATAATATTTTTATTAAAAATATACATTTTTATTTTTTTTGCTATGGCTGGTAAAATAGTTTTTTATTAAAAACATTTTTTATTAAAATATTTTTATTAAAAATATATATTTTTTCTTTTTTTGCCATGGCCTGGTCACCGGCCATGGCATGTAAAATAATTTTTTTATTAATAATTTTTTATTAAAAATATATTTTTTCTTTTTTTTTGCCATGACCAATAAAATATTTTATTTTAATAATATTTTTTATTAAAATATTTATTCTCGTCAGATCCGGCGAGGGCGGTCCTCGGGCCGGACATTAGAAGTTACATTAAAAATCAAGAAAAGGAAGAAGAAAAAAAAATTGAGTCTCAAAATTGTTCCCAGAATCAAGAAGCTACTTTTTTTTTTATTCTTGAAAACTGATTCTGGGAACAATTTTTGATAAAATTGTGCCTAGAATCAAAAAATTAAACAAACGCATTTCTGTTCCCAAACTGATTCTGGGAACAAAAGAACAGAATCAAATACTGTTTGGCAAGTTGTCATGCGCAGCCTAAAAGGAACTTCAAAAGACGTCAACTTGCCTATCTTATCATACAACCAAAGATCAATGATATAAATCTTCCGCAAAACATGATTAGGCATTCTGTAACCCGTTCGGTGTCTCCAGCAAAAGATCTCATCTCCACATGGCATCCAAAGCCAAACTAGACATGAAACATATCAACAAGCTTTGACAGAAAAACAGAACATATCAAGAAGCAGAAATCAAGTCCACAAGGGCCTTGAAATCAGCTTCAACACTCCCGCCAGGCCCAGCAGCCTCCGCCAACCTCGCTCTGAGCTCGCCGACCTTCTTCCTCATCTCCTTCCCTTCCTCGCCCCTCAGCACCACCTCCAATGCCTTCACCATCCCACTCTTCGTGATCATATCTCCCTCCACTCCCACCCCGATCCCCCACCCTTCCTTCACCATTCTCGCGTTCATCATGTTGTCTGTCCAGAACGGCTTGCATATCATCGGCACGCCCCCCGCCACGCTCTCGAACACTGAGTTGTACCCGCAGTGCGTCACGTACACCCCGCACGCCGGGTGGCTCAGCACCCGGCTCTGTGGGGCCCAAGGCACGATCTTTCCCCCCGCCCCCGTCCGCTCCAGGAACCCTTCGGGCAAGTGGACCATCATGTGCTCCTTTAGCGACCACAGGAACGGGGTCATGGTGGATTCCAGGGCCTCGGCAAGAGCCAAGACCTCAGCGGGTGACGGCATTGCCATCGTGCCGAAGCATATGTACGCGACAGTCCGAGGGTCTCTGGCATCTAGCCACATCAAGCAACCAGTATGATCTGAGGCGCAGCTCGGCGGCAGTGAGGGTGGAGGGAATTGCATGGTGAGGCAACCCATGTGGAGCAGAATCTTGAACTTGGACTTCAAGTCCGCCACAAGGGGCGCGGGGTTGGCTTCCTCAAACGAGTTCATGACGACGGCCGTGGCGCGCGGCAGCACGTGCCCCATCTGGGGGACCAGGTTCGGCACCATCCTCGTGTTCTGGTCTTGTAGTATTTCGTCTGGGAAATCGGACATGCGAAAGAATGATAGCCCTGGAACCATATCCAGGGCCTTGTCATCGGCCTCTGCCACCGCCGTGCCGCCGCGGGAGGTTCCATGGCGGAGCTGACCGAGGACCTCGACGTGGACGCAAGCGGACAAAAAGCACGGAGACGGGACCCAGAACGTCACCCAAGGGACGCGCATTTGCTCTGCGATCTCGCAAGCCAGCACCAAGACAGCATCACTCAGCAGACAACTCACCTTCTTCCTCGCATCCCGCTCCGCAGCATCGATGGCGGCTCGGAAACTCTCCGGAGCTTGCTTGAGGAACATATCCCGTAGCTCTCGCGAGTACAGATTCGCTGCCCCGTGACGACCGGCCGGCAGGCCGTCGTCGATGTCATAGATGCCGACGTTGGGCAGCAACTCGGTCCTCGACGAAGGCGGGAAGAGGTCGCCGTTGGACTTGGCCGTGCTCAAGAAAGAGAAGCGGACGTCCGGGGCGGCTCCGGCCAGCTTGCGGAGGAGGTTGGCGAGCGGCGGGGGGTGGCCGGTGAATGGGAACGCGAGGACGGCCACGTGCTTCTCCGAGGTCATTGTGATCCCGACCCGATGAAAAGAACCAGGTGGAGCTCAAAGGTGGACGGTGATCCTTTAATAAAATAGGGAGCGAGATCGAAGAAGGAAGACGAGCGTTCGTTCGGGGGATTATGGTCCAGGAGAAAATAAAGTGGCGCACAATTAAAGTCAAGTCAAGTGCCAGCCACTAGATGTCTTAGCGTCCCCGCAACATTCAATATCGTGATCTGATTGATTTAAATCTGATCTTCTCATCTTCAGGGTCCCTATCGTCCTAAGGGCAGTTGGCTGATAAATTTCATTTATAAGTGTGCTAAATGATTGAGCCCAACATCTCGGCCTCCACAGCCATATAGCTCGAGCTCGCGGTTGCGAGCATGTTCGAGCTTCAAGCTCGTGGCCTTGGCCCCGTCCCCGACCTCTTGGGATGTTTTCGCTTTGGCATTTTTTTCTGTTCAACGGACGAAAATCCGCGGACAATCGGATTCGAGGCAGCCCGGGAGGGCGTCGACCGGAGTCAGATTTCGCCGACCCAGATGCGGAACCGGAGCTCGACGGTTATGGCCATGGCCGTCGAGCCTCCGCTTGACCAGTCGAGATCGAGCCTCGCCCAGATCTGGCGAGGCCATGGCCGACCGCGCCCACGACGGCAAGGGCTTGTCCTCGCCAGCGGCCGGCGGCACCGAGCTTGAGGTTATGGCAGTTAAACCCAGAGTCTCGTGGCCACGGAAGCTTGATTTGAAAACTTGCAGCGGCCATGGACGTGGAGCTCGAACTTGAGCTATCGCCACAGCCGAGAAGAAACCGCAGTGAAGAGAGAGAGGAGAGAGAAGGAGAGAGAGAGGGGAGAGAAAGCAGAGTGAGATTTTTCTGACAGGTGGGCCCAAGAGACACGTGGCGCACAATAAATGGACTGATTTTTTTGCTAACTTGGCACCACAAGTGGTACCCAACATTTTCTCCCAATCCACAAGGGTCGGTTTGAATGTTGAGTAAATGCATGGAGTAGTGGTGGCCACGGGCCGGTTTCGGCCCGGAACCGGCCCGGAACCGGATCGGTCAAATCCAGGCCCAAACCGTTGATCGGGCCCGCGGTTTGGAACCGGAACCGGCCCGTGCCCTACGGGCCCGGTTCCAGTTCCAGAAATTATGGAACCGGCGGTTCTGGGCCCGGTTCCGAAAAAAAAAAAAAAAAATAAAAACTAAAAACTGCTGCTGCACTGCAGAGTCAGCAGAGTCGCAGACTGCACTCTGCAGTGCAGTGACCCGTTGGCCCAACGGCCCCAACGGGCAAAGTTTTTTTTTTAAAAAAAAAACCCCCCCGGGCCCCCCCCCCACTCCCCCAGGCGCCCGCAGCAGGGCCTGCACTGCAGGCCCTGCTGCGGGCAAAATAAAAAAAAAAATAAAAATCCCCGCAGCAGGGCCTGCACGTCTGCAGGCCCTGCTGCGGGCTTGCGGCCCGTTGCCAACGCCCGTTGGCAACGGGCAAAAAACTATTAAAAAAAAAAAAAAGATAACCGTTGCAAAATTGCAACGGTTATCTTTTCTTTTTTTTTTAATTATAAATTTTCTTCTCATTTTTTTCTTATAAATTCTCTCAAATTCTCTCAATACTCACAATTCTCTCAATAGTCGAAATTCTCTCAAATTCTCTTAAATTCTCTCAATTTTCTCAATACACGCAATTCTTTCTTAATTCTCCCAATTAATTCGCTCAATTCTCTCAATCCACTCGAAAAATGGCAAGTGGAAGTCGAGTGCCAACTAGCAAAGGTAAGAATATCGCGACGGAATCCCATCATTCTTTTGATCCTCGTAAATATGCAGATTTTCAAGATAATGAAATCAACATTTTTCCCAATGTAGAGCGCGTCCCTACGCAAGAAAGTTTTCATCCTCCTGCCGAAATATCTACAACAAAGGAAGTAGAACGGGAATTTACATCTGACATTTGGAATCATTTCACGAAAATGGAAAGGTTTGATATTGGTCAAAAAAGGTATGATATAATTTGTAAATATTGTGGGAAAATATATAAATATACAGGTGGACAAGGATATGGAACATTTAAACGACATCTTACGAGCAAACATCCAACCGAAACGGGAATCGATATCGGGCAACAACAAATTTCCGAGTACGTCAATCCTAACACTTCCTCTTTATTTTCGTTTTAATGAAAAAACTTATAAGGAAGAATTAAGCAAATTTATTTCCGTTGAACATTTAGCATTTAATTTTGGAGAAAGATTTGGTTTTAATGAATTTGTACAAAAAGCATGTGCTCCACAAGCAAAACGTGTTCCTAGAAATTCAATTAAACGAGTAATTAAAGATCTTTACAAAAATGGAAGAAAAGATTTACAAAACTTTTTTATGCAATTTAATGGATGCGTGCATATAGATAGTGATATTTGGAGTGATCATTGGCAAAATCATTCTTACATGGGCATAACATGTCATTGGATAGATGACGAGTGGAGTATTCAAAAAAGAGTTATTGCATTTAGAGTTTTCGATGATAAGCATACGGCAAATAATATTTATAGAATAATTAGGCAAATTTTAGAAGAATATTATTTGCTTAACAAAATTTTTTCAATTGGTTTTGATAATGCTGCGGCAAATACCGCTTCAATTGCCGATTTAGAAAATATTTGTAAACCCGCTTTTGGCGGAAAATTTTTTCACATTAGATGTGCTTGTCATGTTTTAAATTTATGTGTACAAGATGGTTTGAAAACTCTTGATATTTTTCTTCAACCAATAAAAACGGCGATTCAATTTTTATGGAAACATCGCCAGAAAATGAAAGAATGGGGTAGATTTTGTAGAGAAAATGGCAAAAGGCCAAAAAGATTTCCAAAAGATGTTCCAACTCGTTGGAATTCTACTTTTCACTTGCTTAATGAATCTTTAGCATATAAAGATTTATTATGTGTATTTATTTCTAATAATATACCTGAGATTAATTTATACCCACAAGAGTGGGATATTTGCCAAAAAATTTTAGATGTTTTAAAGGTTTTTAATGATGCAACTTATACTTTGTCCGGTGTTTATTATCCTACTACACATTTATTTTTAGTAGAGTGTACTAATATTGTCGAAATTTTTTATGAATATGAAAATGATGTTGAATTGCAACATACTATAGTTGCAATGAAAATGAAGTGGCTACATTATTATAGGGAAATTCCCATTATTTATTTAGTTGCTTGTGTTTTTTATCCGCGTTGCAAATTGAATGGCTTAAATGATTTTTTGCGTACGTATTATCAATGTTTACATTATGATGCGATAAATGTTACAACCATAATACGTGAGATTAAAAATGTAGTAATAGAATTATATAATGAATTTTACGCTAAATATAATTTAGGTGATATTGGATCTTCTCGATCTACGGAGATACAAAATGACAGTACAGGTAAAATTAGTAGAGGGTACCAACTTTTATTACATAGACAAAAAAAAATAAAATGGAGTAATAGGAAATATTTCTGAATTAGAGATTTATCTAACCGTTTCATTTGAGTTTACTGAATCCGAAGATGGTACAGATTTTTTAATTTTGGATTGGTGGAAGAGGCACGCAAGCTAATATCCAATCCTTTCTCTTATTGCAAAACAGATTTTTTCAACCCCTTGTTCCACAGTTGCAGTCGAACAAGCATTCAGTGCCGGAGGTAATATTTTGGACGAACATCGTTCAAGATTATCTCCAAAATCAGTGGAGATTCAAGCTTGTGTTGCTGATTGGACGAAGGCTCAATACCGGCAACAAGAGATAGATCGGAATAATGAATCCGAATTCTTTAACGACGGAGATACTACCGATACCTGTCTTGGAGCGGGTAGTGACGATTGAGGAGTAAAAGAACTATTGGAGTTGGCAAATATTTCGGGAACCCTTGTTTCTCATACTGGGTACGCCCACGTGAGCTTAGGGAAACCGAAATATAATCCGACGACATGTGACCTTTGGTCCCCTGCGCATGGAATGCTTATGTTTTGGGGTCATTTTAGGGCATATATATTGTGCTCCTTTTTTTTATAAATCGTTGTAACGAATTATAATGTGCTAAATGATAATTTATTAAGTTCAAGCCCTCTCTTTCTCTCTTGTCTTTTTGTCCCCAAATTTGATTACAATTTACATTTTAATTACAGTTTATATTGAATAATGTTCCGTCACCGGAACATTAACTTTTTAATTTTTTTTATTATTTTCTTTTCCTTTTTTTATTTTCCTTTTCCTTTTCTTTTTTTTTTTTTTTCTTTTCTTCCTCCGCCGGCCATAGCCGGGCCGGCGGAGGTCGCCGACCTCGGCGAGGCCGCCCTCGCCGGCGTCGGGCGAGGCCGGCCTCGCCCGGATCGAGCGAGGGCTCGACCTCGCCGGCGTCGGGCGAGGCCGGCCTCGCCGATCGAGCGAGGGCTCGACCTCGCCGGCGTCGGGCGAGGCCGACCTTGCCTCGCAACGGCGAGGCCGGCTCGGCCGCGAGCCTCGCCGAGATCTGCGAGGCTCGAGCTCGCGCGGCAGGGGCGAGGCCGAGCTCGCCCTGCAACCGGGCGAGGCCGGCCTCGGCCGGCGCCGGCGAGGTCGAGCCTCGCCCGATCTCCGGCGAGGCCGGCCTCGCCCGGCCCGGTGCGAGGGCGGCCTCGCCCGACGCCGGCGAGGCCGGCCTCGCCCGAGGCCGCAACCTCACGCCGCCCCGGCTATGGCCGGCGGAGGAAGAAAAGAAAAAAAAAAAAGAACCGGCCCGGAACCTGTTCCGAACCGACCAGTTCCGAACCTGAACCGGAACCAAAACCGGCCCGGAACCGGACGGTTCCGGTTCATGCTTGGCCACGAACCGGAACCGGTCGGTTCCGAACCGTGGCCATGACTAGCATGGAGGATGGGGAATTGTATAACCCAAAACATAATATAATAGCAAACCTTTGTAGGTCCCACGTTTTTGGCATCCTTAGGTTACTTGATCAAATGTGGGTGCCCACCTTTTATTTGGTTTTTTTCTTTCTTTGAGGATCCTAGTACTTAGGGTAAGCATGGTTCGGATTGGGCTAGTCCAACACCTAACCCAATAATCAATCTACATA